AGCGAAGAAAAGCTCGCTCGAGCCAAGAATGCAAAGCTACAGGTCCATACTGGACGCCATCTCTCGCTCGAGCGACCAAACCCCAGCTCGAGCGAAGAACCAAAACGACATCTCGCTCGAGCGACCAACTCCTCGCTCGAGCGAAAAACCAAAATCCTGGACAGCAACACTTGGTTTCTAAACCCAACCAACCTGAGACAAACCTACCCAACACATCCTATAATTCCAAATGAGAAAATAAAGGACAACAACAACAATTATACAATGACAGAATCTACGGAACCTAAGTCCGGATACAATAATCAAATGGGAAAAGACCGGGGTCGCTATAGCTTAGCTTGTGAAAGGAGTGAATCTTATAGGGACACTCAAAAAAACAGCTGGCCTAAGACAAAAAAAGCAAGATTGACTGGTACAAAAAAATGTGAATGTCCTTTTTCATTGAAGGGCAAAAAATTAGCCCCAAATGATGACTAGATCTTGATGGTTGTTTGTGGTGTGCATAATCATCCTGCTACAGAATATATTGAGGGTCATTCTTATGTTGGAAGGTTGTCACATGAGGAAACCTCTTTGTTGGTGGACATGTCGAAGAGTATGGCACGACCGAGTGAGATATTGGTTACATTGAAACAACGTGATGATGCAAATGCTTCCACAATGAAGACAATTTACAATGCACGTCATAGGTATAAAGTTGCTGAGAAAGCTGAGAGATCTCAAATGCAACAACTATTAGGTCAGTTAGTAGTGAACAAGTACATTGAGTGGCATAGAAACTGTGCAGATACTGAGACAGTGAATGATTTGTTCTTTGCACATCCTACTAGTTTGAATTTGTTACATGCATTTTTAAAAGTATTATTGATGGATTGTACTTATGAGATCAATCAATATCGGTTGCCCCTTCTGGAGATTGCAGGTGTGAAATCGATAGACATGACCTTTTCAGTTGCATTTGCATACCTCCAATATGAGAAGGAGGATAACTACACATGGGCACTTGGTATTTTGCGTAGTGTCATGGATGAAAATACTCTTCCTTCTGTTATTGTCACAGATAGAGAATTGGCCCTTATGAATGCCATATGCACGGTGTTTCCTGGAACTACAAATTTGTTGTGTAGATGGCATATTGGTAAAAATGTGCTTGCTAATTGCAAAAGGATGTTTGAGACAAAAGATAAATAGGAAATGTTTATAATGAGTTAGAATATGTTGGTTATGTCATCGTCTGAAGAAGTATACATGCAACGACTGTCTTTGTTATATAGTGAGTTCAGTACTTATCAAGATGCACTTCATTATGTTACTTCATCTTGGTTGGATATATACAAGTCAAAATTTGTGGCTGCTTGGACTGACACATTTATGCACTTTGGAAATTATACAACAAATAGGTAAATACGAACATTTAAATTTATTAGTTGTTTAGTTTTTTATAACATTATTTTTATAATAGTTTATTTTCATGTATAGAGTTGAGAGTTCACATGCAAAACTTAGAAGATATTTTGGATCAAGTTAAGGAAATTTTGAGTTGAATTGGACAAGGATACACAATTTACTTGAGTTGCAACATAGTGAAATAAAATCATCATTTGAGAAAAGCAAGATAGTTATGCAACATGATTTCAAACCTGCGCAACTTAAGGAGCTTCGTGGTAATGTTTCAATTACTGCATTAGAGATCATATTGGTAGAGTCTAAACGAGTATCTTCTATTAGTATTGATATTACTGCATGTGGATGTATCATTCGACGTACACATGGTTTGCCATGTGCACATGAGATAGCAAATTACATGAGGGAAAATTGGCCAATTCCCCTTACTTCGGTTTACTCATATTGGACTAAGCTTGATATGTTGAGTACCCCACACACTGTAAGTGAAGAGTGAACTTGTACACCCGAGTTAGAATTGTTTGCCAAACGATTTGAGGAGGTGGATCTAGATGTGAAGATGTTTTTGTTACAAAAATTGAGGAAGTTAGCCAAACCTGGTTGTACATTTTTGATTGAGCCAGAAGTGAAGTCTAATCCACGGGTTCGGCCAAAATTGAAGATTAAGACCTCCACTCGTCGTGAGCCATTTGCGTTTGAAATAGTTGCTTCAACACAAGATAATTATTCACCCGGAGTCATTGCCAAGGCGAGTGTAACAACAAAAAAGGTGAAAACAAAGAAGACAGAAAAGGTACATGGTTTACTAGTGAGGTATGTAATTGTGTCATGTTGTCTACTTTATTATCTAACATTGGCATTGGGCTATGCTAGGTTCACTGGCTTCAATCATTGAATACAAATTGTTTTTTAGAGGCATTCCCTTCTGAATTGAGACGATATATTAAATACGTTAAGGATGTTGCAGTAGATGGCAATTGTGGGTTCCGAGCTATTGCTGGTTTGATGGGTTTTGGAGAAGAAGGATGGTTACAAGTGATAAAAGATTTACTTAAAGAGTTGCATGTGCATAGTGATCACTACAGCAAATTATTTGGATCACAAGAGAGAATCGATGACCTTACCAATATCTTGGCATATTTTGAACCAAACCTTGGGTTGGATCGGTGGATGACGATGCCTAATATGGGTCATCTTATATCGTCTTTCTAGCAAGTCGTTTTGGTCCACTTGTCTATGCAACAATGTTTGACATTCCTCCTTCTTAGGTCAATACTGACGTTTGTTGCCTCTCGCAAGGAGATATGTATTGGCTTTGTCAACAACAACCATTTTCTTCAAGTATTGGTTTCTAATATTTTTGTACATTCTTATACATTATAACGACAACATTTTTGCACATTCTAATATTTTTATTTTTATTTTTTTTGTAGCTCATTTTGGAGCCTAGTCATCCTATTTCACCCATAGCAACTAACTGGCGGAGGTACCATGACCCTTGTGCAGTAGGCTGGGAGGTTGCATACAGTTCTAGAGTACAACATTTCAAATCACTCATCAGTCTAGACGTAGCCACAATCGAAACAGTAGACCTGGATGAGGACTAATGTCATACGAGTGAGCTACGAAATAGAATTAGAATGGATTTAAGTTATGTAATTTTCTTTGTTAAACTAACTTAGAATGGAAAAGAGTGAATGAGAATGGATTTAAGTTATGTATTTTAAATGGATTTAATTCATGTTATTTTTTTCATTATAATGAATTGGAATGGTAAACAATGAATAAAATGAATGTTATTTTCTATGTTATACTGAATTAAAGTTGATGAAAAAAGTGAATTGGAATGGATTCAAGTTACATAGTGGTGAAAAAATTTTGTTTGGACATACAATGCTAATAGGATCACTATTGTTCGACAAAACAGTTCTGAACAAAATACATTTGTTCGGCTACATAGTGCTGAACGAATTGTTTTTATTCGGTTCTACAGTGCTGAAATGAGTAGGCCAACAATTATGATTGGGCCAGCAAGCATTTATGTTCAGCACTACAGTATTAAAAAAACCATATCTGTTTGGCATTACAGTGCTAAACGAAGACTACCTGTTCGGCATTACAGTGCTGAGTAAGTCATTTTGATTCGGTTTTATAGTGTTGAGCGAGGAGGATTTGTTCGGTTATTCAATGATGAACATAAAATTCATGTTTATTCATTAGTTCAGATTTGTTTATTCAGTGATGACCATAAAGCAATAAACAAACCAATATTTCAAACAAACAAACTATCAAACCAATTCAAACCATCAAACCAGTTCCAAACAAATTCATTGACTTCAATATCATTGCTAAACCATCAAAATAATTCATTGAATGCCCAAAAATGTATGATAAAGTCATAGACAAGCCTAACTCATACTTGTGTCATATACAAACCACCATCAAAATGTATGCCAAAAATTTTTCTCAGACAAACTAACATATACTAAAGTGGTATCTGACTTTTGTTATACTTGTGTCTAACACCATCAAAAAGTCTAACATATGTTTGAGACTAAGATTTCAAAATACACATTTGAAACATTTGAACCCACCAAATAATAAAGTCTAAGACGTTGCTCCACAATTCCTGCGACGAGTGTACACAAAGTTCTCTAATGGTGTATGTTCTTTAGTGGACTGTTGGCCCTCCAAGACTTGTGTTATCTTCTTCATAGCATTGCGTAACATATCTCGGGTGGGAGCTACTTCATTGTATCCGATTTGCGAGCATTGAACGTGAAATGCTCAAGGCATTGTCAATGCGCTGCAATTAATAAATTAAAACTTAACAATTGCCTTAAACAAAATATATATGAAAATGAAAATAGTAAAAATTGACATACGAATTGAAGCTGACGATAATCAGCTGATGTCTCAGTGCGTGGGTTATACTTAGAACGATGTGTCGGGTTTTGAATTTGCACGTGTGAAATGGAAGTAAACCAATCCAAGTAACCTGGCACACAATCCCATGAATGCAAGACTAGAACAGTACGCGCTGTCTTAGACAACAAGTGATTTTCCCAACTCTCCCAATCGTATCCAAGTATTTATAGGCAATGCTATACTGTCTTAGACAACAAGTGATTTTCCCAACTCTCCCAAATCGTATCCAAGTATTTATAGGCAATACTGTACTGTCTTAGAAAACAAGTGATTTTCCCAACTCTCCTAAATCGTATCCAAGTATTTATAGGCAATACTGTACTGTTTTGCAGTGGATTCTCTAGAGGCTCGAACTGGAGCAAGCGGAGGTGAGGGAATAATTTGCACTCTACCAAATTGTCTCAGCACCCTATCTAGATGATATGGTTCAACAATGTGCATACATTTTAAGCATCCATTATAGTAAGCAACATCAGAAAAAGGAAGCTCAATATGCTTACCATGGTATGGATCCCAAATAACCTACAACAGTAAAAATTTTATATGTAAGCTATGAATCAGGTTGAATAATAGCAAGTAATATGTACGTACATTGACATAAGATTGACATTTATGTCATGGGCCTCTAATCTGTCGAGGTCCTCTCACAACCTTTGTAAAATAAACGTTCATGAACTAGACTGGGTGCGAGAAATCCAATGAAAGACACGAGGCTGATCTTCTTTATAGTCCAAATTGGGGTGGGGTCCAGCACCAACAAAATGCTTGTAAATCCAAGCTTCCAGCAATGTCATGTATCCCGTCAGCTGTTTCATGGCATACTTTGTGGCAGTACCCAATTGCCAGTATAAAAAAGCCAATGCGGCTGCACCCCAAGCATAAGAAGCTACCGATCGCAAATCCATAAGAAAAGACAAATACACTACTAGAACACGAATGCTAGCCTTGTTTGCAAATAAGGTACAACCTAACAAATATAACAAATATGCCCTAGCTGCACCCAAATCGTTGTCTTAACCATTCTACCTTGATAGACTGGCCCCGTGCTGCCTTCAACGCTACATTTGCTTCATCTATTGTTACTCCCAAAGCCTCAACTAGTAGATTTGCAATGTCAACATTTGATAACTTCTTGCAAGAGATTGATTTACCAATCACCGGAATCCCTAGAATTACACTAACATCATCTAAGGTTGGTGACATCTCACTAAATGGTAGATGAAACGTGTTTGTCTCTGGCTGCCATCTTTCCATAAAGGCTGAAACTACAACTTTGTTTACAAATTTATATGAGCAACTCACTAAGGAAATCAACCCCGAATCCATAATTAAACCATGACATTTGGACTATCCATTCTCTTCCAAGTTGAATGACCATTCACCAACTTTAAAACCATGATTTAAGCATTTAACTATTCCGTGTTCCTGCAACATCTGCAATATAGAATAAAAAAAAAAGAAAAAAAGAAAAAAAAAGGATTAGTAAAGTTGAAACAAAATTTAAAACATTAAATTAATATAAGACAATGACTTACATCATTATGCCAAATTTTTACTGCTATGTGATAATGAAAACTCTTCAAAATTGAAGGATCACATGGCTCTCCAGGAAAAGGTCCAGTAAGATCTTCATTAACTTTTTTAGTTGTATCTCCTGGTTGGTCTTTATAGTCACCCATGTCTATTGGTTCATCACCCGGATCATCACATATGTCTGTTGGTTCATCACCCATATCTATTGGTTCATTACCCAAATCATCACCCATGTCACTCATATTCAATTGATTGCCCCCATCGTTTTCAACCTTAACCGTTTTTGCTAGAGCAGCACCTATGTCATTCATGTCATGTTCATTAACTCCACTATCTTGATCCTTAGTCTTACGAGTGCATTGAGGTCTCTTAGCCACTTTTTGAGAAAGTACAACATTACGTCTCCTAGACGGTGTTGGGCGATCTCGAGCAGTTTCCACCATAGCTGTCTACCAAGTACAATTAGATGTTAGTCAATGACAATATAAACAAATATATCCAATGTTAATTACCCTTAATAATATAGTCAGTCTTTCCAATGTATCGAAAATGCATGTCATCTAGGGACATTATATATATAACTTATAAGCCATTGAAGCCAATCTTAAATAGGTGTGTCATGACCAATGAGGCAAAAAGACATGCATGGTCAGAAGTATATATACATGTATTTTTATGTATGTAGATATCAATTAGAGACCGCTTTAGAAAATATACAAATTCAAATAGGAAAAAACAAACTAAGATAGTTTCTTGCCAAACACAAAATGAATAAACGATAAAAACAAATTGCTAAAAATAAGATATTTGAGTTGATCAAAATTTGGGAATTGTAATGCATTAGAAGCATGCCAAGAGCAAGGCCATTAAAAACAAAAAAAATCCTAAATAAAATTGTAGACAAAAACAAAGCTTTCAAAAAAAGTGCAAAGATTTGAGAGCCTAAACAATGGAATTTGGTATTAAAAACAAAAAAGGCTTAGTACACAGCAAAAGCTGTGTGTTTTGCTTCTTATGACATTTTGGATTGATTATAAGTACTTAAAGAAAATTCAACATTGGCCCAAAGCCTATAGTTGCAATATAATCACATGCATCTCCAAGTTGATATAATGTGCTAAAATTAGCACTATTTTCAAACAGCCCACCTACCTCTTGTTAGGTGTGTATTGTGCTAATTAGAGTTAGTTTATGTGGAAGACAACTAGTACAAGTGTTCTGTGATTATGTGGCTATAAGTTGATGTATGAAAATATATGGAAAAGAAGTTGAATATGTGAATTAAATAATCTGGCTGGTTGCTGCCCTGTTTGCCTCCTATAGACACCCCATTTTTGACCGTCCTCAAGACTTGGACGTTATCGTTTGAACACTCGATGATCATCCCTGTTCGTGTTCGTCTTGAGCTCTCGGAGGTTTCGGCTACGCGCCTTGCCTCAAGACCTCTCGACTTGTTTGTTTTGTGTTTGGTTTTACATCAAACACTTATTGTTTTGCTTCTGAGGGTGGGAAATAGCTTGTAGGCCATCCCCACACCTCACCGGCCATGGCTTGAGGCCACCGGCCTTGTTTCCTTGCCACCAGCCACTGGTGATGGCCGGTCGGCACTATTGATGGTCGGTCGGCCAACTTTGTTGGCCGATTAGCTGCTTTTTCTAGCCGAGACCTTTTCTTGAGGAGGGTTTAAACCATTTGAACCCCCTGTTTTAGCTTCTTGAGGAAGCTTGAACCTTTTGAACTCTTGGTTTTAGCTTCTTGAGGAAGCTTGACCTTTTGAACCCTTTTTTAGCTTCTCCAAGAAGCTTGATCCTTTTTTAGCTTCTCCAAGAAGCCTGATCCTTTTTTTAGCTTCACCAAGAAGCATGAACCTTTTGATCCTTTTTAGCTTCTCTAAGAAGCTTGACCCTTTTTTAGCTTCTCCAAGAAGCTTGATTCTTTTTTTAGCTTCTTGAAGAAGCTTGAACCTCTTGACCCCTTTGCCTAGCTTCTCCAAGAAGCTTGGCCCTTTTGCTCCAAGCTTCTAAGAGAAGCTTGGCCTTTTTGCTCAAAGCTTCTAAGAGAAGCTTTGCCCCCTTAGTTTCTCTATAAAAAGAGGGCCTCTCCTCCCCTTTAAAGGGTTAGAAAAATCTGATATATAAGATATATATATCACTCTCTCTCTATATCTCCTTCTCTTTCTACATTTGGGTGTGTTAGAGGGTTTAAAAGGGTCTTGTTCTTGGCCTATTGCACACCACTTCATAGCCACACACTTCCATCATCACTTGGAGGTTCTTGAAGCTTGTTTTCAGAGGTTGAGGGTTGCATTTTTAGGTCTAAAGGCTGCTGGTTCTTGCTGGTCTTCAAGGGTAACACTTCTTACCCTCTTTATTCCCTGTTTTTGCACACACTTTTAGCCTTACTTGAAAGCATATTTGGGCTTTGTCATAAACTGAAAAAAGTCTTATTTTGAGCTCCTTTTGAAGTTTGTTCAAGATTACTTTTGTGTTTGGGGTCGTTTACCCTCTCTTAGGCCTTGTTTGGCTCCATTTTGTGCTATTTTTGGTGAGCTTCGGGACCACCTTGTTCAGGCCTCCTCACCACTGAAATCTTGAGGGATTTCAGTGGTGAGGATGGTGTCTTAAGGTCCTAAGAAGGAGAAGGCCATCCCCTCTCCTTGTTGTCTTCAAAATGTGCCATTTTAGCCTCATGTGTGAGCACCATTCTTGAGTTCATGTTGGCCATGTCTTAAGTGTTATTTGTGCTTATTTTCTCATGATATAGCACTGTTTTTACTTGGTTTAGACACACCATGCTTAGCTTGTATACATGTCTTGTAATGCCATGATTTGCCTTTACATGTGCCTAGCATTTAGATTACCATGCTTATGTGTTTTGGCCTGGCTTTGTGAAGCTTTTATGCTTGTTTTAGTATGCTAAGGGACTATTTTTGGTCATTTGAGTCATCCAGGCTTTGCTTTGTATAGCTATCATGCAAACTCTCTTGTATGCCTTGAGCATTGATCCCTCTAGCATGCCATCCTTGCATTATTTCAGTGGTTTGGAACCACTTGTCATATTATTTTAGTCCTTGTGGCATGCCTATATGCTTGCATTTGATATCCCTTTAATGTGTTAAAAAGTTGTTGTCTTATGCTCCGTGTTTGGGCCCTTGTGCATGCTTCCATACTTAAGCCATTTAGATGCCATTTAGGTGGGTTTTGAGGCTCATTTTAGCATGTCACATCTCTGTTTTCAGTCACTTAATTCATGCCATGTGTGGTTGCACTAAATGTAGTTCAATGCTTCTTTGGTGAGCCTTAGGCTTTAGATCATTTGTTGTATGCTATGCTTGTCCTGTTTGCTTGTTTTGGCATCATCATTAACATGATTTTCAGAGCTTACATTGCATGCCATATGCCCATGTTGTTCCCTTTTTAAGTGTGCTTAAAAGTTATCTCTATGTGCCCAAGTGTTGGACCTTGCATGCATGCCTATTTGTATGTGTTTTGGCTTCCATTCTTGAGCATGTTGGCCACTATTTTGGACCTAGTAGAGGGCTGTCCAAATTAGTTTAAGACCATCCCTTTGGCATGTTGTTGCATGCTATACATGTTTGTATTTTTAGGTACTTAGCCTATTAACATGTTGCATGTTTAAGTGTCATTGCATTTGGCATGCTTCTTGTGTTAAGTCGCTTTGCATATTTACATGTATTATGCCTTTCATGTTGTTGCATGTGTGTCATTAACATTGATGTTATATGCCTTGCATGCTTACTTGTTTAGTTCATGTTCCTATTGCACATGGTTTTGTTGTTTGCATGATCATGTTGCACACATAGCTCACATGCCTAGGTTGCATTTCATTGAGCATGCATCCCTTGCCTCTTGATCAACCATGATAGGGGTTGGGGCCCTTTGATGTGTTTTGTGCTTGCATTTCATTTGATATCGAAGTTGCAAAACTTGGCCTCTTAGGCCATCATGCATAATTGATGGCCCGAGGGTCGAGGGCCATGCTCCCTTGAGTCCATTGCATGATAGGGAGAATGGCGATGGTCCGAGAACCGAGTACCATACCCCTTTGAGTCATAAACATGATAAGGGATGTGTTGGTGCACACATTTGCTTGAAATGCATTGCCATGCCTTGTTTTGCCCTCTACTGCTGTCAAAACAGGTTCTGCAGGAAGACTTGGCCGGTCGACTACATGGAGTGCCGACCGACCAATTATTGATGGCCAATAGCTCAACAAATGGTCGATGACCATCCGGACATGGTTGGTTGGGTTTCCACTTGGCCGGTGGCACTCCACAGTGTGCAGAGAGCATACCTTGGGACTTGTGTAGTTTTCAGAGGTGCCAAACAGTGAAAACAGAGGCAACATGTGTCATGGCAATGGATTTCCGAGCGAAGCCAATCCGAGCATGCATTCATCCCTCTTCCCGAGGCTGTTTTACTGCTTTAGTAGCTTAGTTAATTTGTTTAATTAATTAAGGGTTTGTAATATTTAATTAGCTAGAGTAGTTAATTAGTTATTCGGTTTGTATTATTCTTTTGGTCCCTCCGAGCGAGGGCGAATTTGTAATAAGTGTGGGTGCGTGGGTGCGTGTGTGCATGTCTTCCAACCCCCACTTCTTTCTCCCTTTTACTTACCTACTTTTGATGGTTAGTATTAGGTCATATTTA